CTGTTTGTAGGGTAAAATAAAGAAAGAAGACTACGAAAATAAGAAAGCGGAGTTCAGAAGTCTGTACGAAGCAAGAAGAGGAGGAAGAAATCAGGAGCGCAAAAAACGAAAAAAGATGTAGGAGTACATAAATAAAGAAAGGAAAAAGAAGACAAGCAGCAACAATAAAATTAAAATAGAAACATGGAGAGAACACTTCAAAAACTTGCTAGGAGGGACGGATGAAAAGATACAAGGGGAGAAGCAAGAGATGGTGAATACAGAGAATGACATAACAGAACTGACAGAGGAAGAGATAGAGAGACAAATAAAAAGGCTGAGACAGTCTTGCCCCGACAGCCGAACCGATCGGACGTACCATCGTGAATCGTACCGAAGTCGAGTACCACGGAATGAGAAGAGTCAGATAGGTTACAGTTAGCTGCGTTGGTGGCCACAACACAGCAGTGCGGGCATACAACCCGATTATAAGTGCACAGTGTGTTTGTGTAGTGTCGTGCGTGAGTACGCGTCATTCCACCATGACAACAAATAAAACCCAACTCAATACAGAAACCGGGATCTCCTCTGAACCCAAAAGCTCTTACGCTAATGCAACTAAAACGCAACAAGAATACTCCCCGACCCAGGACCAAGCCATAATCCTTCAATCAACTGACGGCATCACTATTAAAGAATATGCTAGAGCGATCGGCAACATCATAGAACCCAAAGCAATAAAATTCCTTTCTAGAATATCAAACGGTAGAATATGCATGTACCTGGACAGTAAACAGACAGTATCAAACCTAACACAAAAACACAGATCGATAGTGATAAATAAAGAAATCATAGAAATCAGACCGATGGTCCTTCCAGCTCAAAGAATCATTCTACCAAACGTCTCACCGATAATCCCGAGCAGTCAAATCGAAAACTTATTCAAGAAGAACAATATCAAATTACTATCCAACATCACGCTCCTAAAAGCAGGCATCACTGACCCAGACTTGTCCCACATACTAAATTTTAAAAGACAAGTGTACGTAGACTCAGAAGACGCCAAACACACCCCGAACTCCTTTACAATTATAATCGAAAACAACACATACAGAATATTCACACAGAATATTCACTTCTACAGAGAAACAAACATGTTTTACCTGCCAGCAAAAAGGACACATTGCAAACCAATGCCCAAATACAGAAAACCCAAGCAAAACCAACTCGCAAACCCACACACACAAAACCTCAACCTCACCTACACAGCCCCCAACCAAAGACCATATACCTGAAACAGAAAGACAAACTGATACAAGCATTAACAATGAAATCGAATCTCCAACAAAAGTTATCCTAGAATTACTTGAACCTAGGAAAGAAAAAGCAAAAGACCCCAAAGCAAACAAGACAGGTACCAAAAGAGCTCTATCCTCAGGGTCGGAAGAAACCAACAAAAACCCGGCAAAACCAAGTGACCCTGAACTAGACCCTAAAGGCCCAAATCCACAAATACTAAAAAAATACAACAGGAATCACGAACCAACCTTCAAGAAACCCAAATGCCCGGCGTCGCCGGCCTTCACGCTAGATAGAATCGACGACATGCTAAAACTTGCGAAAAAATACATCAACGACAAAAAAAAAAACAAATACTGGACTACTTACAATTGAAAAGCTTTTTAGAAAAAGCAATAGGAGCACCCAATCCGAACGAAATATCCAAACAATATACCACAAATACGACTGATTTAGCCGAACTACTAATAACAATTCACCCTCTACTAAAAAAAAGAACCATAAAAATCAGATTAAAAAAACTGTACAAAAAGATGACACATGACCTGACAGACCCAACTACACCTAACTGGTCATCGGAGGCTGACAGCGATCTACCAAGTTAACCAGGAAATCCCCACCACTACTCTGTACAGAACATTTATTTTAGATCGATACCGGCATTTAAATAAACTAACGGTATACGAGCTATCAGTCACCATGAAAAAAATAATTCAATTGAACATAAACGGATACTATAGACACTACGAGCAACTACAAATCATCCTCAAACAACACAACCCAACGATAATATGCCTTCAAGAAACTAACTTCAAAAACGAATACCAACCAACTTTAAAAGGGTACGTCACCTTCACAAAAAATAGGAAAAACACAAACCACGCTAGTGGAGGAACAACCATAGCGATCACAGAATCAGTGAGAGCCAAAGAAATTCCATTAATCACGAAGCTTGAAGCAATTGCAGTGGCCGTATCCCTCCCAAACCCAATAAACATATGCAACATATACCTCCCAAATAGCCTACCTCTACAGCTACAAGAACTAAAAGACCTTATCAGCCAAATACCACCACCAATGCTGATAGTAGGCGATTTTAACTGCCACAATTACCTTTGGGGATCCACAAAAACCGACAGTCGCAGAAAAACAATAGAGAAACTACTAGGAGATCCAAACCTCATCCTCCTCAATACAGGAAACCAAACACACTTCACAGTAAGTTCTGGAACACTCAGTGCAATAGACCTGTCAATATGCAGCAGCAAGATAGCACAATGCATGGAATGGAATACTCTAGAAGACTTACACGACAGTGACCACTTCCCAATAGTAATTAACTATGATGACCACTCCCCCCCGACTCAAATCCAACAAACGACCAAGTGGAACCTTAAAAAAATAGACTGGTTTAAATACAAAAAAAAAAAAAAAAAAATACGTGATCTTCTTCAAAATCTCCCACAGCACGACATTCACATAACCAATTTAAATAGCGCAATAGAAACACTTGAAGCAAGCATCAATGCAGCAATACAGGAAGCATGCCCTCCAAGGAAAAACAACAAGGAGAACAAAAAGAAACACTACACCCCCTGGTGGAACGAAGAATGCCAAGCTGCTCAAAAAGAAATCTACCAGGCTTTTAACAAAGCCAAAAAACATCCCACAGAAAACTTAATTAATTTCAAGAAACTGCGCACCAAATTCTGAAAACTAATCAAACAAATAAAAGGCTATCGTGGAATACATACACCTCAGCCATAATCAATCAAACCCCAACGGACGAAGTATGGAAGAAAATCAAGAACATCAACGGTAAAACATACAATTCAATAATCCAATTCCTTGACCTGGGAGACAATAAATACGCAACCGAACCAAAAGATATAGCAGAAGAACTCGCAAAGACCTTCCAAAAAAATTCTAACATTATCCACGATTCAACACCCGCCACGAATACCCCACACACTGCAACAATACCGAACAATAGCACGCAAACTGACCAACATTCTATCACGGAATCCGACATAAACACACCAATATCTTTAAAAGAAACTCACGTCCACGCTACAATTAACAAAAAATTTATCCCCTGGGCCACAACATTTCCAACGCTCTTATAAAACAACTTTCCGACGTTGGAATCGAATACCTGTTAAAAATATACAACTGTATATGGACCCAACAAACATTCCCAGACGCGTGGAGAAAAACGATCATAATATCGATTCCCAAACCAAACAAAGACAAACACATACCGGAAAACTACAGACTAATAGCCCTAACCAACTGCCTATTCAAAATCTTAGAGAAAATCGTCAACAAACGATTAAGATGGCAACTAAGAATCCAATAATATGCTCACACCCAACCAATATGGATATTTAGACAACATAGATCAACCACAGACATCTTAATAAACATTGAAACAAGCATAAGTGAAGCGTTCCTAAACAATGAATACCTCATTAAAATATGCCTGGGCATCGAAAAAGCATACGACACGATACAAAAAACTAAAATCATAAACACCCTGATCTCGTGGGGAATCAAAGGAAACATGCTCATCTACATTAAAAACTTCCTAAAAAGCAGATACATCCAAGTTAGAATCAATGGACTTTCCAACCCAACCATAATACAAAACGGAGTACCACAAGGGTCGGCAATCAGCGCCACCCTATTTCTAATAGGCATCAACGACATAACCAGAGATATAAAACCTCCGGTCCAAAGAAACCTGTTCGCAGACAACCTTACCCTTACATGCAGTGGAAGAAACATTAACACGACAATCGGGTTAATACAAACAAGCCTGAACGAGTTAACCAGATGGTCAAAAAATTCAGGTCTCAACTTTTCCCCCAAAAAACTAAATTTATAGTCTTCTCCAAAAAACAAAAATTGCTCCAAAATATACCGAAACTATATATGGAGAAGGTCGAGATAAACAGAGTCAACAGCATAAAGCTTCTCGGACTAACTTTCGACCAAAAACTGACATGGCTTACTTAAAAGCCTTCAAACAGGTATGCTCCCAACGTATCAATATCATAAAGGCCCTTGCCCACTACACCTGGGGAGCAGACCAAGAAATTCTCTTAAAAACCTATCAAGCGCTAATAAGAAGCAAATTGGACTATGGATCAATAGTATACAATTCAGCCAAACCTAACATAATCAAAATAATAGAACCCATCCAAACACAGCACTCAGACTAGCCACAGGAAGCTACCGCACAAGTCCAATAACCAGCATACTATTTGAAGCCAAGGAAATGCCCCTCGAACAGAGAAGAAAATTACTCAGCCTCAGATACGCTATAAAAATAGCGTCAACACCGAATAACCCAACATATAACAACACCTTTGCCGACAGACTAATAGACCACCATAACAGAAACTCAAGACTCCCGGCACCATTCCGTACAAGACTCAAAAAATATCTCAATACAACAGAAATCACTTCAACACCTATTGTCGAACGCAACCACGGAAAAATAGCCCCATGGATATTAAAAACACTAGAAACAAACACCGACCTGGCTAATAAAAAAGAAAAAAAAGAAAATGAAAAAAACACAGAACACAAACAGGATTTTCAGAAACAAACACCTACAAGAACTACCACAAGATATATACAAACGCTTCCAAAACGAAACACGGAATAGGATTCGCAATAGTCACAGAAAACTCCATTAAAAAATAACGACTCTCCAAACACACATCCATCCTGACCGCTGAAGCATACGCGATACTTGAAGCACTACGGCACATCCAAGAAAACAAATATCAATCAGTGGTAATCTATACAGATTCCTTGACTACAATAAACGCGACAACAAACATCAATAGCAACAAAAACAACGAAGTCATACAAATGATTCAAGAAACATATACCGAACTTACTAACGACCATAAACATATAATAATCACCTGGATCCCGTCACACCAGGGAATTGAAGGAAACGAACAAGCCGACTCCTTAGCCAAAGAAGCAACACTCAACCAAACAAAAGAAACCAACATCCCAATCCCACACCAAGACCTACTAGCTTCAACGATCAAACTGGAAAGAGAAGAATGGAACAGAATTTGGACTACGACAAATAGAACCAAAATACACGATATAGCACACCATTTTTATCAAAAAATACCAAACAACAATCTAAGCAGAAAAGAAAGGATAGCTGTGACCAGGCTTCGAATCGGACATTCTAAGATCACACACGAATACCTCCTAACCAAAACAGAACCACCTTTCTGCAACACCTGCAACCTACAAATCACCACTCAGCACCTGCTACATGAATGCAGAAAATACCGAAGCATAAGAAGTATTAATATGGATTAAATCAAAACACCGCTCTAACCTGCCAGAAACAAAAAAAAAAACGTTATCAACTACCTAAAGGAGACCCAACTACTAGACCAGTTATAAAGAGTCAATTTCGACACGTCGCTAAAGACCTCGTAGTTGATGCGATGCTAAACCCCTATATAAAAAAAAAAAGGATATGCATTTTTGTATTTACGTATATTTTTACGTTTAATAATGTTCGTTATTCACCTAAAGTAAAAAGCAAAATATCACTATTACGCATTGTACAGAAGTACAATTTTGTATTCTTCTTAATTTTGTATTCTTCTTGGTCATTATTGATCATATCAGTTAATCAGTTTATTATGAATTGAAATCTTTATCCAGCAACGGTGATTTCTTTTTATAATATTGTACGCAATAATAAGAACACAAATCTTTTCTATGTTCATAATTACCATTTTATTGTATATTTCAAACTGCGGAATAGGTAGACAGATATAGACGATTCTTTTTCTGAGAATAATTGTCTTCAAAAATAACTCTCGGCGAGCATTGTAGAAACTTTTTCAGAAAGTTTTTAAAGCTGCTCTCAAATGGATACACAATTTGAAAGTATTCTCGAGAGCATCTTCCGCTAGAGACTCTTAATATATCCTGAAATGACATTTGAATCAAAACTTTTGTTTGTCTGGATATTACAATAGAGTCAAAATAGTCTGTTTATAAAAAATTATTGTAATAAAATTAAATGTATTGTCTAAATCTCATATTACTGCTTAATTCTGTTTTGGAGTAAAAATTACTAGGTGATGGCATTGGCATTGGCATTGAAAACCGATTCTCGGAGAGTTATTTTCAGAAAACGAAATTTATTTGTTTTGAAAGTAGCTCTCTGAAAGTAATGTTACTACATTTTCATCTGAGAATAAATTATTGCTGATAATCTCAGAAAAGAAACTATAATTTGTTCAATTGATATTGATACTACATCAAGGACTGATATTGCATCTATCAGTGGCGATGACTGCTATAGAGTGATGAAATTAGTAAACGAAAATAAAAATGACTATGTTTTCATTATTCACAAAATATATACTTAAAAAGTTCAAATACTACTCATTATGTTAAAATAATTTCAATCGGATGAATCGCAGAGTTTTTTTTATCATTCGGAGAATGGAAAACTAATATAAATTATTTGCGATCATCTTTCAAGTATCAATTGCAGTTACTAATGCATTACATCGAATTAAATTACATTTTCTGTATCAATAATAATAATAACCAATAATTGCATTGATAATAACATATATAAATAATTTTCAAACATTGATACTGATGAGGCATTAACAATAATAATAATGGAAACAGTTGTCACAACAAATAAGAAACAAATCAATTTCGTGTTATGCATTAAAACTACAAGAAAACAACGTCTATTACGTTTAATAATTACAATTAATGAAGATTGGCATGTCAATAATAAAATAAACAGTATGGTCTATGTATAATAAAACGCATATAAATATGGTTACAAATCTACGTATTTTTCGTATGCCTAGTTATCATTGTGAATATTCGGGTATCGGATCGGGTAAAACTTAAGTATACTACTTGTTTTCTATTTTGAGATAGAACCTGATACTCGGATACTCGAAACCAGAATATGCATTTAGTTTTTATGCATTATCATCCATTGTCATTAAATTTATTGATTAAATAATAAAAATACATACGTATGTTACAAATGAGGCAATTTCGAAATTGTTCGAAGGCAGAAAATCCGTCGCTATTTACTGTTTCATGATTTACGACCGGATCTCCACTAAACTTGGGAAATCACAGCAAATGTTTAGAATATTATAATAAGAGGATCTAGCCACAGATTGGAAATTATGACAAACTTGGTAAGACTGTGTTTAACCGTTCAATACTTACTTCAGAACTTTTTGAATCGAGAAGTTTGCGAGTTTTACAGAATCTTAGACAATCTATTGAAATCTTAGAAATATTAGATAGTCTATTGAAATCATGAATATGGTATATATCTTTGCTTCAGCCATGTTGATATACAGAATTTATTTTTCAATAACCAATATTATTTTTGTTATTAATATATCATTCATTGGTGTCAGGATTAACTTTTAGCGAAAGATATTGTCCATAATCTATTAAAAAAGATATGAATGAATGAAAGAATAGCAATTAATACCGATAGTACATCGAATTTTAAAGTTCGTATTTTAGAAGCAGTAGGTTATTGAGGAAACAAATTGTGATTTCTTGAGTGTTGTGATATATCTTTATTTGTTTGCGAGCGATTTGAAACGTAGATTTTTATGGCGAAATTTGCACCGTTGGGCAGAGGTCAGTTTCATAAAGTAATTTTTTAGCAATTTTTAAAGCATTTACTTTATGGACCTAATGGTAGGTACTGCCCAGCAATGCTTCCCTCACATTACGTTTACAACTTGGCCTGGGTAGTGTCTCTTACACGTATCATGATGTGCTAAAAATACAAAATTGTATTATGGAAATAAAAGAATGTTGAATGTTAGCGATAAAAATATACAATAAAAAAATCATTTAAAAATTTTAATATGATCTTTATAAGATATTTCAAAGTTATCGCTATGTTATAGGTAACTTCACAATATGCTCCCCTTGAAATCATACAATTTTTTTTGTTTGAAACATTTTTTCGTATCATTAATATTTGATTGAGCTTTTCTCGTTGAATCAGACATATCGTATATTTTCAATCGGCAGCACTTGATCAATCAAGAACTGTTCTAGTGTGCGTGCTCAATTTTTGTTTTTAATTATTTACTTAGAGATATTTATGTACATTTGTACTTTAACTTATTCTATACTTATATTACAACATGATTAAATTAAATCAATTCTCGGATTTACTGAGAAATTTGGTTGTTATGATTATTTAGGCATGCTTCACACAATGGGTTTAGTAAGTAGGTGTACTTTCCGTTCTGAAGAAGATGCAACTGTAATACGTTTTGTGAAAAATGCCGGTGGAATTTTGATTGCAAAAACAAATGTACCTGAACTAAATTTGTGGACTGAATCAAGAAATAATGTATATGGACAAACATGTAATCCATATAATACCACTAGAAATGTTGGTGGAAGCAGTGGTGGGGAAGCAGCAATTATTTCTGCCTGTGGGAGTGCATTTTCCATTGCCAGTGATATTGGTGGTTCTACTCGAATGCCAGCCTTCTTTAATGGAGCGTTTGGATTTAAACCAACTGGAGGTTTTTATACTTATAATATTAATATATTATCTATATCTAAATATTTAGGTATATACTTATATTTAATGCATGCAACAAACTGATTTTCTTGTTATTGAAAAATTTTTCAAGTTCTACTATAAATAGTATTTTTAAGTTCTACTGTAATATTTTTTATTTTTAAGTTATTTTTATATCTCTTTAATGATAAGGATGTAATCCACCAAACCGCTTAGGATGAAATTGCAAAAGAAAGAAAATCACTATATATAAATAAAAATTTATGAATAAGTGCAAGTAGAATAGAAAAGTATATCTAATACACTTAATATTCCTAATATTCCTAACACACAATGATATTCTTGATAGTAAAATATCAAGAGTAAAAAACATTGCTAAAAACGAGAGTTCAGAAGGAAATAAGATTTTTTCCAAGAATGTTTTACTAATGAATATGAATAAAACTGAGTACTTGTTTAAAATCATATATTTTCATTAAATTATAATTTAATACAATTATAAAATCTCTATTTTTATTATTTTATAACCTATTTTAATCGATTTTAATAAATATTATTTATTAACTAATTCTGGAATAAATAGAAATGAATAATTGATAAAAGGTTTAGTTTTATCTGCAAAAATAAGTGAAAAATGTAAAATAATAATACTTTTCTGTTTAAAATTTCATTTTCAAAAAAATAAAATTTGAATATGTTTATTTAATCCATTCAATCTTCAAATATTTTTTACTTTGCGATCTTGATTTATCGTCAGTACTTCATGTGAACATATTGCTTTATTCTGTTACATATTAATAAGATAAGAGTAATATTACAGTAATGTATATTTTCCTTTTTATATATATACATAAATGACATAAAATTGTTAGAGATTGACAAATATTCGTAGACTCAAATAATGCGTTTTGTTCAAATCATGCACTATGAACTTGAATCATAATAATGCATTTTGGTCCAGATTATTCACTGCAAGTCTGACTCATAGCTTAAGCCAATGAATTAAGTAAATATTACAATAAGAGCTCCATATTTGCTGGAATTAGGGTACTGAAATCTCAGTCGAGTTGTAGCGAATCCTATTATATATGCAGGTATATTACTATATACATTTTTTTTACTCTCTATATCATTTTATTAGTTTATTGTACGTATATAGATATTACTAATCAATGATATTATTATTGCACCAGTTTTAAAATTTTCATTATAATACTCTTAGACTAATTAAAAACCTTTAATAAATAAGTTGCAAAGAAACCACGTTGATCAACTCTATAAATTAAAATATAAAAAAGAAATATGATTATAAACATTATCTTTTAAGACCTATTTTGAAATTTATGGTTATTTATACTATTTTTTATAACAAATAAATTCGGAAAAATAAATCCTTTGTGTCGCAAATAAGTAAATAAATGGTTGTTAAATAAAGTTGTTAAATGGTGAGATCGTATGTTCACTGATTCTATTCGATCGGAAATCGTCGGACTGCCCGAAATTTTTGAGCTATCCGAAATCGTTGGGCTACCCGAAATCATCGGGCTACCCGCCCGAGCCCGCTCGACTTTGTGTAAGTCAAACAAACGGGTACCCGTAATTTCATGTACCCGCACACCTCTAGTAGCGATGAATATTATTTATTGGGCTAGAGCAGAAAGCTCCCACTACTATTCTAGTGTAGTATCCTAAATATATTATTATGTATGAGACAGCTTCTTTAGTGCATTTGGGTTAGCGGAATCGTAGACAATTGATCCATTATCGAATTTAGATCTAACTATAGTTTTATAATATAGTTTATAAAATTATTAATATTAATTTAAATATATTCAGACATTGATTGCTGTCGACTTTAAGTTTGTTAATATGAAATAATTGGGAGCCAAAAATTAATTCTAACAACTTGATAGAGGATGTTTTAGGATTTTAGGATTTGATTATTTAGGACTTGATTAGTTAGTTTTATGTAGATTTTTACTGACTTGGAGCTTGAAGTTTGAAACCTGAAATAAATGACCAATTTAGTGTTTTTTGTAGGTAAAAATGAAAGGCAAAGAAGTTTCTCTCTTTGTAAATTAAAGTTTAAACTTTTTGGCGGAAATTTAGTTTGTTGAATCATATGTATCCCTGATTATGTCTGTGTCGATTGATGGATCGATAACACTGATGATGCATCATTTTTTTCTGCATTTCCTATATTTGTTGAGTTTTTATGCGAAGTGTTTGTATTGTCTTTTAAATTATGTGCGAGAAACCAGAATCTCGTATATTCTACATCGGAGGTCAGTCATTTGATAAAACAATTCTTTGCGATAGATTTTGTAAGGGACTGTGGTGTATGTTATTGATATATTTATTTATTATACTATTGTATTTTATGACTAGAAAATTTATATAATAAAAAATTTCTCGTTGTAGTTTTGCTGTCGAGATAAATGCAGATTCTGTCATTAAATATGCGAGAAAAAAATCGGATGACGTTGAGACTGCTTATTGTTAGTAGTAATATTGCTGGAACATGTTCTTTAACGATTACGCCTTCTATGATATCTATTATAAATGTCTGTTTCTTGGGAAATGTGTTGTTTCTCGTGGCTGGAAACGTAAAATTTGATAAGTTGATTGTGTAAACAAAAAATTCCGTAGGCTATAATTAGGTAATATGGGTGATTTCATTAGATTTCTGTATAGAGGAGTATACAGGATTAGGGTTATTGATACTATAATTGACGGAATAATATAAATCTGATCAATATTCAATATTTTCACAAGATTTACTGAATATTAAATATTTAATTTTTGAACTTGAGTTGAAGATTGAAAATGAAAGAAAATACAAAATACAGATTACACTGCTATACTTATTGTAATAATTCTTCAAGTGAAAGTGATAATTAAAAGTTAATTCGCTTACTTTAATTGTAAGATGACTTTTATCGAAAATTTCTGCACTTCTACGAAAGAGAAGCACTTCTGGCTTATGGTTTTATGCCTGAGGAACTGAATCTATCATTATGAATTAAATGTATATAATAGCTTTTATTTTCGAAGAATAATGGTACTCAGTTTTACTCTTATTTATAATTTTTTATTTTCTGAGACATGAATTTTGAATTGGATATCTTACAGAAGAGTGTTCGAAATGTTTAAAGAATTCTTGATTCGTAGGTTTAACGCCACTGAAGGGTATTGGACTTCGAAAAGAAAATTATCCTAATTCAATGGCAGAAGCAGGCCCAATATGTAAAAAAGCAGAAGATTTAATACCTATTTTGAAAACTATAATTGGAGAGAAAGCATCTTTACTCAATCTAGATGCAGAAGTAGATATAAGATGTCTTAATATTTTTTACCAAGAAAGTTCAGGTGATATAAGAACAAGTAGAGTAAATTGGGAAATGCGAACTGCTCTTTTAAAAGCTGTGCAACATTTTAAAGAAATTACTGGATCCGTAACAAAAGTAAGTTCTTAAATATAATTTCTTAATAATTATAATAATTATAATAATAATTATTTCTAAATAATTAATTAATTGATGTGTAAATATAATTCTCCATAACTTTGACTATTATATATTGTGTATTTATTGAATATTTTTAAATTCCAATTGTATTTACTTGTTACATTATGATTTTTCTTCTTCATCTGGTTAATCTCTTGTAATATTTGTTTTTCTATATATTATACTTTGTAGTTTTTTCTTTTCTATCTTACCATTGTTTCATTTTATCTACGCTTACTATTTTTTTTAGTAAATTCATTGTCTGTCCCGCCATTTGGCCTTTCCAATTTTATTTTAATTTTCTTCATAATTAGAACATTTCTAACACTTGTCTTCAATTTCTCTCATAACTTGTCGACAATAAACTTTTTTTCCATAATATTAAACTCTAATGTTTTGTTTTCATAGTGCTCCACATTACTTTTATTCCTAAATATCACCTCAATTGTTGCCTAATCTTCCTTTTCGACTTCTTCGTTTTCTATTTTATTAGAAATTTTTGTTAGAAATTAGTGATCTAAGTATACGTTTCTCATACGATTTGATAATGGTGGCAATGATTCTATACTGTTTAGAATAATGATACACAATTCGTAGTCCGTTTTGAAAATTTTTACGGTTTATAAATCTTTTGAATTCTTTTTTATTTACAAAACTTTTAAAAATTATATTTCAATTATGTTAAATACATGTATTCAATTGTAAAAACAGTATAGAAACCATTCTGTTTAACAATTGTTTGTACATTGAAGGGAGGAAAAAGGAGAAAGAGATTCATTGCAGCTTGATATTGCATATGGCTCTTTATGTTGTGCATTATTAAATTAGAACACAGAACATAGAACATAGTTAATCACCATTTCTCTTCTATTTTCTACAAAGATGAATTCTCGGTTTGTATTTCCATTTATATTACCGTTTAAGATATTCTAGTCTCTTAATCAAATGTAGTAATTTTTCTTCTGCGTTCAATTTTTTTCTATTTTTCATTCTTATATCAATTTTCGCTTTTTCTATATTCTTTCATTCATATCCTCTCCCATCTTTTGTCTCCTATTCTCTGCATTAGTATTCTCATCCTTTTTCTTTATATAGTATCCATACTTTTTAAATTTAAAAAAAAACTTTTTCTGAAGTTCCTTTATGCTAAATCCTGTAATTCTGATTTACTTTTATTTTCTACTGTTTATTGTTTCTTTGTATCAGTTACAGTTCTTCTTTTGACTTTTCTCTTGATTCCTTGACTTTTTTCTTGACATTGTGTATACATGTTCCTTTAATAACTTTTTTTCTAGTTCTTTTCAATTCTTGCTTTCTATCTAAATTTCTTACTAATTAACAAATAAAAATCTCTGATATAATTCAAAAATTCAATGTTTTTCTTTGCTATATCTGCATCGTTTCAAAATAATAAATTCTCCTTTCTTTCTTTTTCTTTTTTTTCCTTTCCCTCTTATTTTTTTAATAAAAATTTCTACTACTATTTTTTTTTTAATTTTTATTTCTTTTATAAAATTTTATTGTTTTTTATTTCTTTTATAAAATTTTCCTATTTTATACATATACACACACATACATATATATATATATATATATATATAAAATTATATTCCTTGTAGCAAATATACAATAAAACATAAATTAAAAATAAAAGAAAAAGAAACAATAACCTTGAGAATTTCGGTACATGTACTAACAATTCTGAACTTGTTGAAAGATTAATCTGAGTAATTTTTCTATGTCAATTTCTGAGTTGTTTATTTAGTAGATCAGGTTTACAATTAGTTGATTTTCTTTTAAGTTTTCTAGGAAAACCTGAACAGCAGTTTGCCGCAAGCAGATTTGTACGTTTCTCTATTCTTTATTGATATACTTTTAATATGGTATTATTTCCTTTGCTACTGTAAGGATTCCTAAAATTTTCTTGATGTCATCGTTTTCTACAATGATGCACTTAGAATAGTTCTTAGTATAACGGATTGAAGATTTTCTATTTTTGTAATATTTGACTTATATTCCAGATTTGCAATCCATACGTTCATATTGGTTTTATTATGATTTTATAGACTGGAAGTTTGTTTTTTGTATCTAATTTGGATCTTCTCATTGGAAGTCAGTACATGTTTTTCGTAGTCATTTTTATTTGCTCGATCTTTTATATATATATTTATAAATTTTTTTTCCAATTTAATTTGCTATCCAGATGGAGTCAAAGATATTTGACGGATTCTACTTTGATTTTTGAATTTTGGAAAATTTATTTTGGAAGTTGATTTCCTATTTTGAAAGAGCGAAGACAATATGTGAGCTAAATTTATTTTAATTTCATTGTCATCTTCAATTTACAATTCCTTTTACATGATTTTGTAGGTTGCAATTTCAATGTTTTCATGTGTAAAGAGAATAGCTATGTCATCTAAAATATACATTTCAGTGTTTGAATATTGATATATCAACAGTAAATAATGAATACAGCAGAAGCCCGAGGATACTTCCTTGCGGTACGTCAGCATAAACTTTGTTGGGTGATGAGGTTGTGTTGCTGATTTTGAAAAGTCAAATCTATTTAAGAAGTAACAAAAAACAACTGCGTAAATTAATAGGATTTAGTTATAATTTTTCTAATAGTCTTTTATGCTAAATTTTATCGAGTGTCTTTTCTATAAACATCTAAAAAGATTGTTGTGCAGTATTTGCCTTCCTTCATGGTGCAGATTATTTTATTGATCATGCAGTATATTGTGTTGTGGTTTTCCTTAAATCTGTAATCTGGAATTAAGCTTTCACAGCTTTTAAGTTGCGATTTCATACATTAGTTTTTTATAAATAGTTTTTTTTTATCATTTTGGAAATAATTTTTGTCTTGGAAATAAAAATGTATATCCTTTAGGATATATATTTTCCGGGTTTCTGCACACTTTCAAATCTATGGGAAATATCCTATTCTAAAAATTGCATTAACTATTGTTGTTAGATATCTTATTTATTTGAAAGTTATTTTGGTTGTCTTTACGTGGCTTGTTATTCTTTAATCTTGTTAGCACATATTTCCTTTTATTTTATTGTGACTTTGTGGAGTAATAATACCATTGCCTGACAAGTTGATAACCCATGAAAATTTTCGTAAAAATTTTTTGCAAGTAATTGGTTATAGTTTTTAAATTAGATACTTGCCTCTGTGGATTTTGTTCAACTTTTGTCCTGTTTTTAAATTGGAGATATAAAAATAGTTTTCTGAGTTTTTTTTGTACCCTTCTACAGCGAAGAACTTATTCCTCCTGTATTCTTTGTGAAGTTAGTGAATTATTTTACGAATTTTGTTTCTAACTTTATTAGTGACTGATCATTATTTTCTTATTTCTTTTCTCTTTTTTAAATTAGATCTGAAATATACATATGTTGGATATTTTGTTGTTTTTCTTTCTATTTTATTCAAATATGTGCCATTGTTTGTATCATAAAAGTTAAATTTGCTGATATTCTTATGTCGTGTACATCGTTTAGGAATACTTTGCAATTTACGTTGTTGTGAGCCGTTTGTAATTTGTCTAATTTGTAGTACTCTTTGTAAGTGCAATATTTTTGCAATATTTTGATCGAGTTGAAAGATTATAGATCGGTGATTTGAGAATAGTTTAAGCAATTCCTTCGTCTTGATATCGAGATTTGTATTAGTGATGGTGTTGTCCAATATATGATCCTATAGCTGTATGTATGTAGATCCACATATTTGTGGATCTTCCAAACGAAAATACTTTAGTTGGTTGTTTATTATGTAGTGGAATAATGTATTGCCTTTGGAATAATTCATTCTCGAGCTTAGTATCTTTGTTTTGCATTGAAATGTACTACAAACAGTAGTGTTATAAATTTCTTTATTACTTTTTCAAGTTCTATTAAAAACTGGTAAAGGAATTGAGCGGTGGTTTGATAGTATTATGTATTAAATTGTTTTTTCCTGAAGACTGAATTTGATACGTTTTAGGTTTAATTTCAGATCTTATTAACATAACCTTAAATTTCCGATTAATAATCCGTATTAAGGACAGTCACGATTGATGTCGATCGTGTACTTCTGCATATATCTCTTGGGGTTCGAAAGACCCCCACTGTTGTGAGAAATAAATAACTATGATGGATTTTACCTTAATTTTATTGTGTGTATTAAGTTTGATGGCTTGAATACTACTTCTGTGATTTATTGTTAACTTAATCAATATTTGACTTCTGCTATAATTTTTTGTAACTTCTGCTTGATTATTATGATATCTGTACTGGTAACTTGTAAAAACTGCTTTGATGAATACTGTTTAACTGCCTGATTTCCTCTTTGTAGTAAGATCGTACTTGAGGAAATGAATTACTAGTTATTGCGAATTGCGATAGTACTTTTACTCCTTGAGTATGTGATCGTAGCAAGAACGAAGTGGACATCCCCAGACTTGGACATTGCGCGAGACGGTGGAACAACTGCTGCGGCGCATTGGCGTCATGGCCCTCATATGGGCCGATTCTCTTGTTTCGATCACGTGATTTTTTTTTACTTGTGAATGAATTTCTCGCAGTATCTGGGGTTGTGTGACTATTTAATTTGCATAAAAAATATGAGGACTAATTGTGCTGATGTTTTGGGGAGAGAGCGGGTTTGTGTGGTTACTTGTTGTTGAAGTAGCAGGAAAAATTTCAAAAAATCTGCATATCTCTGTTAATTTCTTTCTGGGATGTGACCCTGTTCGAGTTTATGTTGTAATTGCGTGTTTTGGTAGTCTTTTCTTGATTTTCTGTGGTATGTCGTTGACATTGTAATTTTCTGTTTAGCTGATTGGTAGATTTTGGTGTTCTGGGTGATAAGCTGTTTCGAGTGAATTTTTATAGTCTTGGATTGTTTGTATGTTAGCTATTGCGTGGAGTTCGCTGATTGATGTGTCATATGTTTTGTTCAAGATGATGTGCAGGAA